AGGCTAGCCCGGTTCCAGGGATGAAAATTCAAAGATACCGCCACAAGTTATTTTTAACAACTGTCAAAACAATAAAATTGTTAACACAAGAGAAATTCATCCCGCTTACCAGGCTGTCTCACTAAGCGGGCCAGCCCAGCTTCCATATAAACACAAAGGTTCCAACCGACTAATTTATAAAAGCATCAGAAATTTCATTGGTAGCACGGGTCAAACATGGCAAGAAATGTTCATGAAAAATACAGCTGAATTCGTCAGTAAAACTTCGCTCTGCTTGTCTATGAATATTATGATTACTGATTAGGTTCATTGTGTCAACAAAATTACTGGGATTTGTATATTTGTATGTCCACCTAGTATACTATAGCCAAACTGGGATTTGTGTATTTATTTGTCATGCTTAATTAAAACTCGTATTTTTCAACACAACTCTGCAAATTAAAATGCTTAACAACGTTTACTTCATCAACATTCAATGACCAAAGAGAATATACTGGACATGCATCCAAACCCGTTATTAATTAAGCAGAGCGAACTCAAGTTAAATCTGTGAACTCTAGCTGACAATTTAAAAAGATAGCAAATTGAAATGTCGGATTGCCAGTCGATAAAACACCACAAGACAAATTCTTGATGCTTTGGTAAGTACCTTTGATAAGTGTAATAAAAATAACACAACACCACCGATTACCTTACCTTAAACCGCAGGAAAAACCCCAAAACAACAGCTAAAATCTCCTTCTGTCTTCGCAAAATATGGAAAGCACATGGGAACACAAAGACGCCGCACGAAACCGGAAACCGAGGCAACTGCCATGAACACGAAAGCGAGGCAGATGTTACATCCAAAAAATCTCAAAAGGACACAGCATCCAGCCGTGACGTCACGATTAGGAAGCGTTCTCCTTCGTCGAACGCAATTAAAAATTTACAATATTCAATCAGGAGGTCTACTCAAAATCATCATGCCTAGACCTGCTAGGCGAAAACGAGAAAAAGAAAAAGAGCTTGCAGAAACAGCTAAAAGGATGCGGAAACTGACAAGTTTTTTTAATAGCGCGCCAACTAAAGAGGTCGACTTTGGGTCTAATTCGACACAACCGTCAACAACGGAAACTCCACCAACCTGTTCATCTCATCATTCTGATTCCGAATCAAATTTCAATGATCCTGGCCCTACCTCCTCTTCAGAGATACAAGTCGCGCAGCCGACCGAGCTATCTACTCCCACAGCTTCTGACAACCTAGCGTCTGACAACCACAGCTTCTGACAACCTAGCGTCGATGGGACTACCGTCCCATTTGTAGGACCTATGCCATTGCCAATTGAATCAACAGAATGTTTGCTAGGACTGGACTGTCAGCGTTTGTGCTGTGCAGACAGAAAGCCATACCGTCCTAGTCAAGAAGAAATAAAGCGCACATCTAAAAAGCAAACCACAAAAGGAGGATCGTCGAATGTACGAATATGTCCATCCTCTATATTTTTGAAATATGTTTGGGTCACATATTGCATAACGAAATGTACCATTGCCTGTTACTTCTGTAAAAGAGCGATGCGTCAAGACCTTATTACATTCAGTCATAACGGTGAAAAGGCCTTTCTCTTAGGAGAATTCAGCGACTGGAAAAAGTGCCAAGAAAAACTTAAAAAACACTCTCAGTCTAAATTTCATGCGGAGGCCACTGAGAAAGTTTTATTATTTGATGATTCGAGAAGCGATATCGGAGCGAAATTAGTCGGTGAATTAAAAAACCCCCAGGAAACTCGAAGACAAATGTTGTTAAAACAACTTAGTAGCATTAGGTATTTGGCACGCCAGGCCCAGAGCTTGCAAGGGAAAACTGATATTGAGAGCAACTTACACCAGCTGCTAAAATTAAGAGCAGAGGATGTTCCTGAACTATTGGAGTGGATTGACAACGGAAGATATCTCAGTCATGACATTATAAACGAGTTGATTAACATGATGGGCAATGCAGTCCTGAGGTCTATAGTCACAGACCTACGTAAAGAATCACAGTTATTTAGCCTTATTGCAGACGAGTCTAGAGACATAAGCAACAAGGAACAATTAACATGTGTTTTGCGTTGGATATCTACAACCAACTTATCCGTCCACGAAGATTTCCTCGGTATGTACAAGCTAAAGAAAACCGATGCTGAAACAATCACCACTTCGCTGAAGGATATTTTGTTGCGATGTAATTTGACGATAGACGACTGTCGGTGGCAAACATATGATGGCGCAGCAAATATGGCTGGAAGCAGAAGTGGAGTTGCAGCCCGAATATCTTTAGAGAATCCCCGCGCCCTGTACATTCACTGCGGGAACCACAGCCTTGATTTGGCTTTGCATGATTGTGTGAAGGAAAGCGGAATTATCAGTGATACGTTGAAGTTCGTGCAAGACTTGGCCGTCTTTATTCGATCTTCACCAACACGAATGGCGCAATACCAGCATATCGCCGAAGAGATTAACGACAACGGCATGCAAGTTGAGAATCCGCATTTGTTGTGTCCAACTCGGTGGACGGTAAGAACCAAAGCAATATCGGCTGTCTTGCACAATTACGAGGCCTTGTACTCCACATTACTCAGCATTGCCAAAGAATCTTCCAAGTCTACCGTACGTGACACCGCATCAGGTATGGCTAGCCAACTGAAGAAGTTTTCCACGTACTTTGGTTTAAGTTTTGCGCAGAATGTCTTTAGCGTTTGTGAACAAGTTGCATCTACGTTACAGAAGCCTTCAATAACGGCACAAACAACTGTTACTTGTGTCACTTCCTTGAAGACAAACTTGCAACGCCAACGAGACGACTTCCATTTGTTTTACGACCAGGTAGTCACTTCGAGCAAGGCCATCAACTTTGTAGACGATCCTAAACTGTCAAGAGCGAAGCAACTTCCGCGGCGATTTCAGCACGGAGATGGTGAGCAACATCATTTCCAATCCGCGAAAGAATTCCACCGTGCCCAATGTGTTGAGGCACTTGACGCATGCATGGCTGCACTACAGGAACGTTTCGATCAAGAAATATATTCTGTATTGATGAACATCGAAACCGTGCTCATTAATGCGGCAAATGGGCATACGTTTGAGTTAAATGATGCAGTTAAACGCCTTTACGAAGAAGACCTCGATTTTGATCAGCTAAAGGCAGAGTTAAAGCTTCTTGAAGGAATTATCTCTCAGCGTCTTCCAGAAGTTAAGAAGGTGACATCAATTGACACCATTACATCAATATTCTCAACCGAAGAAACTGACTCATCGCAGATCGTCATGGCAATGTCTAACGTTGTCCGACTTTTGCAGATTTACCTTCTTGCTCCAATGAGCGCAGCCTCTGGAGAACGGTCTTTTTCAAGCCAGCGTCTTGTCAAAACGTATCTAAGGAGCACGATGACGGCAGCACGCTACAACAATCTTATTGTTATGCATGTAAACAAGGCCAGAACTGATGAACTGGACTTAAGTTTGATTGCTAAAGACTTTGTTTTGAAAAACGAACGTAGAGTTAGATTTTTTGGCAAATTTTATTAAAATCGCATTACGTAATAAAATTGTTCATTTAATCATCTTCAGTTTGTTAAAACTTAGGACGCATGCAGTGCAATAGAGAATACGCATAGCATCCGAAGAATGTCCACCAATACTTTGCTGATTTTGTGACTTGATCATGATTCATGAAACAATATATATCTTTATTATGCTAAGATAGTAAGGTGCAAAACTCAAGTGCCCTTTTTGGTCAGTGCCCCCCCACTTTCGAGGTGCTTCCGCGGCCTCTGTATGAGACCCAGTCCACACTCCACATTTCCCCATTACTCAATATCCAAGATGGCGTCAGCCTCTCAGGAAAATATAAACTTACAGGTTGCACAAGGAAGGCAACAGGAAAATAGTGATAATAATAGTGCAAACAGGCCACCACCTGCAAAAATTGCTCGAGAGCGGTGGTCAGATTCAAACAAGAATAAATACAAGAGCCGGGGAGCTTCTGACGTGAAGAAAATTTGTTTACGAGATCGAGTAAATCAATTTGCAAATCAATTTCCAATTTCCAAATCTGGGCAACAGATTTTGTGGACGATGATAGAGCCATATGAATAGACTATTATGTTGAGTTCAGGAGAAAAGACTATTAAAAGTTACAAAATTTACTTTTTATAACAAAATACGTTGATTTTTCCACTTTTGTAGCATATTTTTGAATAGCATAATATAATAAAAAACAAGCCTAATTTTTTAAAACTGGCATAATTCGAGCATAATTTAGACATTAAACCAGAACTGCTAGTAGCATATTATGCTACTTTTACTAGCACAATCGAGAAAAGCCTACTGGACGTCCGCCATTTTGAATATTATTAGGGGGGTGAATGGCGTCAGCATTTGATGACGTCAGCATTTGGTGAGAATTACGGTTACGCCAAAATCTGCCAAAATCATAGGAAAATCATAGGAAAAACAAAGAAGTCGCCCTTCTGTGTACGTTATTCTGCGCCTGCAGCTTGAAAGAGCATGACAAAATTAGTCATATTTAAAATGTGGATAATATAGCAATGCGAAGTTTGCCGTTTTTCAGTCATTTTGTATTACAAATGGGAAATTGACCATCAGTTTCATTATCTGATTATCAATTTTCCGTTTGTACTGCAAAATGACTGAAAACGGCAAGCTTCGCAAGGCTATATTATCCGCATTTTACAACTTTTTGCAACGAAACTTCGGGATATTACTAATTCTGCAATGCTCTTCCAAGCTGTGATGAAATTTTTGTCCAGGCTAATCTAGATCAAAATTTCACTGAAAAGGGGAAAGGTCTATTAAGATCTAAGCCTGACCCCGAGCTAAGCGGAAAAGTCGAATACGATAGAAAAAAATACATATACGTGGAGACTGTAGATTAGACTTATAGACTTCTGCTAATAGAAATTAATCGAAAATTTACAACTGAACATCCAAATGCTTTCAGTGAATCGGCGGCGAAGCGACTAATATAAAATACAGGCCTTCGATTTTAATAAAAATATAACTACAGTATGTCAAGTAACTATCCGCATACAAATGAGTAAATACACAATAAACATACCTTTCAAATTCCATGTATTTTACTAGGTCTTTCAAACTTTATAATAGAAAATTTGAATAAAAATCTTCTCCTTTGAATGCTTGCTCTCAAAAGATGGAACTTGGCGCTTGAGAGCCTGTTCTCAGGCTAGTTGTCAATGTATCACACAGATCGAATTACTACAACACGTGATATATTCTAAGCATGTTAATTGGTTGAAAGTTTGGAACTTCCACTTGTTGAAAATTATATTCAGCAGAATTCAGCAGCAAAACATTCCACAAGTTCAAATTACAGAATCTCTGGCAAACGCGGGTAATTATAATAGAGATTTACGCAGCAAAAAAATAGACGAGAGCAATACTGGTGTTAAATTAATTTGACAAGAAAAACTCGCTGACAATTTCTGGCTAGATTCGATCGTCGCGTGCGATCGAACAATAAGAAGCCGATATGGTCCGATATACTTGTAATACAAGAATCTGACTTGGCAATATTCGAGAAAAACGGCGCGTCAACCAGCTGAATTAAATCTTGGGTTGATTTTACACGAACTGCAGTCCTTCACTACGAATTTGTATAGAAAATATCGCCCTAATTCTAGGTTGAAGAAACTTGAATATAGTTTTTGTCATTCCTATGTGTGATGGTCGAGTTATAATACACAGGCCGAGTAAAAACTTGGTGGAAAATTACTCACTATTTCACTTCTACTATACGATTTAATAAATGGCTTTTAACTGAGTGGAGTGAGAATAACTCCTTGAAATTGAAAGTATATGTCGTAAGTCGAACTAAATATTTCAACATATTTCATATAGGTTAGTTTAGTTTTCAGTATTTTGACCTAATCATAATGGTTATAATGACCTATTTGGGAATAATAACCAATCGGTAAATTTGCTTAACCAAAAAGATTGGTTAAATTAACCTATTTTTATTGGTCGCAAAATTTGACCTGATAATAATAGGTTATTTTAACTAATTTAAATCGGTTCTAACCCATTCAATTGGTTAAAACAACCTTTAATTATTGGTTACAACCTTTAGAAATAGGTTGTTTTAACCTATCAGTTTTTACAGTGTATACAGGCACACTATTGAATTCGTTAGGGTGCTTTTACTTCAGTTAGAATTCATCAGTAACTACATATATAGCCGCTATTAAGCTCAAGCAAAATCACTATCAGTCCTTTTAAGGACTAAAATAAAATACTTTTAATTTGAATGCACCATCCAAGACAGTCCGTTAAGGCTGGTTTCTATATGGTCGTAACGGTCGTAAAGATTGAGTCACGATCGTTCTCATCAGCCGAAATACAACATTTTAGAACTGAAAATACGCAGAGTGATTATAACTATAGAGAATACTTATGTTTTATATGCGGCTTACATGGATAAACTATTATAAACTGGCCGTTGAGAAAGATCGTGACTCTATTTTTACGACCATTAAGACTATATGGAAACCAGACTTTAGCTTCATTTCATTTCATTGCTATAGCTATTTGGCAAGTTAATGAATTCGAATTAATACTGCTGTATAAATTAATTAACTGTGGACAGTGTATCAGTGGTGTAGAGAATATATAGCTCAGTACGTGCATGATTGGCCGAGTGCGTGGATGCAACAATCCCCTATACCTTTTCTACACAAGGCCATATACTTCGTCCACCCATGTTTACTGAAAATTATCAAAACCAGACTCTTTTACTTTTTAACAGAATATATTTTAACAATTTGAATTATATATGTGTACACGCTTAATATTCTTTCATTTTTTGTCCATTTTCATAATATTTAGATAAACTTCTAACATTAACAATATTATAGAGACAATATGTTTTGATCTTCAAAACGTTTCATACCGGCCAAGAAGTTGAAAAAGATAAGACGAAACAAAATCCGAAAAGACTTCTTGGGGGGGGGGGGGGGGGG